AATCTTCTTGATCAGAAAATTTGGGACACTACCGAGGTACATGACGTTACAGTACAAGTTCTCATATGTCCTGAGTCTTAATTGACCTTAGAAGGTTAAGGCCAAAATGTTGGCTTTCCTTGTAGCCCTCCTTTCCAAATATATTTTTAAAAAATTGCTATCACCATGAAAACTTGGTGGTTCTCTCTTTGTCTCTTCAGATACATATTTAATAATTCTTTGTTTCTTTTTCAGTTCACATATTGTAAGGGGTTTGGTATCTGGATCCTAACTGGTACAGGCTTCATTTTCTCTGCCAGAATCTGCCTTTTCTCTGTGGACCTTTTACAGGTAAACCCAACTACTTCCACAGCTTTAGTCACCACCTATATGCAGACAATTTTAAAGGAGCCAGATCTTTAAATGAACCAGATCTTCAGCTTTGCAAACAAACACACACACACACACACACACACACACACACCTCAGCTCTGCAAACACACACACACACACACACACACACACACACACACCCCTCTAGAGTCTAGAGTTTTGTCATCAACTCCAGTCATTTGCCAGTCAATCTCTCTTCCACACTCTAAATCTTAAAGGACAAGGACCACATCTTCTCCATCTATCTATTCCTAGTGGCTGATCACTGCCTAGCTGATCACTGGGTAGCTGCCCAAGAAAACCATAAAGAATTAAGTATTAATAGCTTTGTCTCAGTTATTCTTCTTGTTGCTGGGACAAATATCCAAAACCCAAAATTTTATATTTTTAAAATTTATTTATTTGTTTATTTTGTGGTACCAGGGATTGAATCAAAACCCAAAATTAAGGAAGGAAAGGTTTATTTAGCTCACAGTTAGTGGAAGTTTCAGTCTATACTCGACTAGCTCCAAAGCAGAGTGGTACAGGGCAGAGGACAGGCGTTCATGGAGGCAGCAAAGGACAAACAGCAAAGGAGGTGGCAACAGCTCAGGGAGCTAGCAAGCCTCTCTCCCCTCCGAACACTGCAATGTCTATTACCCACTCCAGGGCCAGAGTGTAGCACTCGCGCTCGCAATCTCAGCATCGGATAAAGAATCAATCACAAGGGGCCAGCCAAATAGCTCAGCGGATTAAAGCACCTACAAGCAGGCACATGGGCTGGGGGTTTGATCCTGGGGCCTGCCGTGCTGGGGGCACACTGAAATGGCAATTGAGACTGGGCATGGTGGCACGCGCCTGTAATCCCAGCTCTTGGAAGGCTGTAAACAGGCAGATCACTACAACTCTGATCCAGTAGTGAGACCCTGAACACCCTGTAGACCCTTCCCTAAAATCCAAAAAGGAAAGAGAGACAGACAGACAGACAGGCAGGCAGGCAGGCGGGCGGGCGGACAGACAGACAGAGGCCGGGGAAATGGCTCAGTAGAATAAGCACTTCCCTGGCAAGTGCAAGGGTCTGAGTTCAATCCCCAGTTCCCCCCCCCCCAAAAAAAAAGGAAAGAAAGAATCAATCACAAACTCCAGAAGTTAACCCATAACTGCATAAGGCTTTGCGGGGACAAACAGACACAAACTATAACAAGTTTAGTTGAGTTCTCTGTATTTCTAAATGGGCAACTCCATCAAAATCTCAAGTAATCAGATTGCAATTCAAGCTAATACTCCAGTTTAGGATGCTAGGCACACGTGGTTTTACCTTACCTTCAATACAGAGATCTGAGCCGCTCCCATCTTCCACATTGCATAACAGTCCTTGAAGGAGAGGGAGATGGGGGAGCAGTTAACAGTTTCCTTTAAGAGAAACAAGCCTATAAAAAGCATACTGTGAATTCTAGAACAGCTTGAAATAATGTTCCAGCTCAATTCTGTCCACAGTACCAAACGCCTAGATTTTCAATGACCTGCTCTGGCATTAAAAAGATGAGAACTGTCAATGTGGCACAACAGAGAAACTGTGTAATCGGGAGTCTGATGGAACGAGGGCAAATTCCAGCTCCGCCATTTGTTGGCTGTGACTCTCCTGAGCCTCAGGGATCATCCTATCTCCTTCAAAAAACTGTCTTGGCAGTTTTTAAAAAAAAATCTGAAAGGCTTCTGATATGGCGAAGCATCCAACATGAGTCAGCTGCCCTCCTCCCAAAAAGTATTTGTTCTGTTGCACATTCCAATCATATGAAAAAAAGAGATCTCTGAGAAAACTCAACCCATCTCACTTTAGGCATGAAGAAACTAAGGGATCAGTTTCTGATCCTGGTCACACCAAGGTCAGGAGACTCCACTGCAGGTTTTATGATTCCCTTACAAAATCTAGACCCGACTCTTAAGGCTCATGCATTTTCCACATTCATCTTTACACTCTCCCTAACTTCTTAGGTCTACTCAGACCAGTTACCACTAAATGCCTTGTGTATATTAGAAAATGGGGCTATGTCTCCATTATTATAATAACAAAAAACTTCCAAATAAACTGTTACAGTACCAAAAATTTAAATTATCTTTCTAAGACTATTTCCCCAAGACCGTCCCCAAGTAAATATATATGCTATACACGCAAAACTTAAGCCATTTCCTTTTTAATCTCACCAAAAAGCACATTTACGAAGTGGATGCAGACTCTCTCATCCTGAGCCACCAGCTGTGTGACCAGGGAGGCATGCCTCAAAAGGACATCTTGGAAGCAGGACACCATATGCTTCTTGCGCACCAGCTTTGAACAAATGAAGAAAAATACTCCATGACAACCAAATCTTAAGTCATTCTGAACTCCCCAAAATTGTAATTTCCAGCTATTAAGTACAAGACAGAAATAGAGTGGCCATCTTAAATGTAGTAAAATCCATATATTCTATAGAAAGCCTGGACAAAACCATCATGTGTAGTAGGGTATTTGCAAGTTCATACAGAAGTATATGTGAACTGAGATTCTTACTCTATATTTATATAGCACTTTACTCTTCACAAATCACTCCTTTGTCAACCAGCTCACTTAAGTTTTTTTTTCTAATTAATTATTTGGTACAGGGTCTTGCTACACAGCTCAGACTCACAGTGATCCTCCTATCTCAGCCTCCCAGCGATCATCCTATCTCAGCCTCCCAGCACTGGGATTACAGACTTGCACTACCACGCCTGGTTTCAGTGGCTGGCACAGTGTGGCCAGGGTTCCAGGGCCAGCATGGCATGGGGACCTGGGATGGAACCTAAGTCCTTGCACTTTCCAGGCAGGCAATTAGACAGCTGAGCTATCTCCCCAGCTCCTGCCAGATGATTTAAACTTAACAAGATGGCAAAGCAAGCAAAATACATATTATCAGCACTTAGGAGATGAGAAAACAGACTCAGGCATTTTCCAAAGGACTCAAATCTTAAATCCTCAACCATCTTTTGCCTAACTAATGTCAGTACTCTTTCCACAGCAGCAGTCTGTGGGCTCTTCATGAGTGTCACAGAAACAGGCAGAGAAAATACACTTTTCTGTTCAACATGGACAGAAATCCTTCTATTCAAGTTATTTCCTTCCCTACACAGAGAACTGAATCACAGCTAGGAAAAGGTGCTCAAGACAGTAAGAAGTTAGGTCAAAAAAGAGATGAACATTGAGGATAAGAGGAACAAAGGCCCAACTACCCACCTCACCTCTTCAAAAGATGAGAACTGAAGTTGAGGAGACATTTAATAAAAGCTGAAGTTGCATATTTATTGCTTCTAACCTATGCTAATGTCTGTTTTTCCTTCACCAATTCATCCTACATAATAACTTCAGAAAATCTTCTAAATGTGGTACTAAAAAAAAAACCCTCAACAACTTCCTTTCTCCAGAGAGTAAGTTCAAGCTCTCTTGTTTAAACATTTCAAGGTACTGATCTCAACCACTTCAATGCCTTCAGTTTCTTTTCAAACACCATTTAGCTCTCATATCTCTCTCATACCCATTTCCAAAGCTGCTTTGGCTTAATTGAAATGTTTCCTCTCCTAAAAATCTTTCCAATTTCCCCCTTAATCTTGCATAACACTTGACCATAAAACATGCCCATTTTTCTAAAGTCCCAGTGATGTAATCATTTATCTTTCTCATACTGTCTTATTCATCTGATACTGTACAGAAATAGTAGGTACGCTCACTATTGAGAATGCCTTGGTTTGGGGAAATCACACAGGTTATGAGCTAGTTCAACAGTTTTCAGTGTGTGGTTTGGGCACCACTTAAGATACCCAAAACCTTTCTTGGGGGCTCACAAGACCAAAATTTATTTATTTACTTATTTTGCAGTACTGGGGATTGAACTCAAGACCCTGTACTTGCCAGGCAAGCGCTTATTCTACTGAGCTATTTCCCCAGGCCCAAAATTTTTTATGTAACACTAAAGTATTTGGCCTTTTCACTCTAACTTTCCCACGATTATACAGTGGAGTTTTCCAAAGACATGTGACATTACAACTCGTTGCAGAAATAGATGAGAGAGCTGGGCATAATGGTGCATGGCTGCAATCCCAACACCGAGAGGCTGAGGCAGAAAGATCATCATGTGTTAGAGGCCAGTCTGGGTTATGAAGTGAATTCATGGCCAGTTGGAGAATCCAACTGTTTTTGGTTTTTTTTTCAAGCCAGACATTAAAGTAACTTGCAAGCCCCTCCTCCCACTATGTGTTTTGTTGAGACACAGTCTTACTATGTAGTTCAGGCTGGTTTCCAATTTGCAGTAATTCTCCTGTTTCTGCCTCCCAATGTGGGAGATTACAAACCTGTACTCCCCCAGCACTCTCTTTTGTTTGGGGAAAATATTATTTTTATTTTTAAATTTGCTTGTGCTATAGATCTATATACTTGAAAAGGGGTAAAATGGTAAACTGTAAGTTATACATTTACCACATAAAGTACAGTAATATGTAGTAAATCACTATTATTTTTAAATAAATATCTAAATTTTGTTTTATTTCTGAAATAGTAATAGATCGGTGGATAAACCTAAGTAAATGAAAGCTCTTTTGGATCTGTAACTTTTTTTTTTAAATTTATTTATTTATCCATCTATCCATTTATGTGTGTGTGGCTAG